TGCTGCGGCTGGGGCGGTGGTTTGCTGCGGCTGCTCGGGCGGTGGTTTGCTGCGGCTCCTCTGCTGAATCCGTTGAATCCGTCTGTGCTCTCAGATGGCCTGTGCTTCGCCTTTCACCCGCGTTCTTGAGAGGACTTGCCGCGTCCCGGGCCTCCCGCCCTTCCAAGGTTGGCTCGTGTCAGTGATTTGTAACGGTTCTGTTTTCCTCTCGCGGATGTCTGGTGGCGTTCATTGCACACTGTGTACCACCAGATATTGACAAGGTGCAAGAGACAAAAGGGGGCCCCAGAAGGCTTCCTCGCTGACTCTGTGGCCTGTGTGGAAGGGACAGGGTTGTCCCCCTCCACCGGCCATCCCAGAGACAGCCTCTGACCTATGGCCTTGTGGTTTTGGTTTTCCTCAGCCGTAAAGGATGACAAACATACGTATTCTCCTGCCTTGAGGCATGTGTGGAGGGGATCGAAGCTGTGCGGGAAACGCCTAGAGGCCTCCCAAGGAAGGGATTGTGCAGTTTTCGTTTCTGTAGCTGTTCCCTCCCTGTCCAGGTCGCCCGGGCACCTGCAAGCCACCCAGAGTCCGAATCCCCTGGGCAGGGAGGCAGTGAACTGCTGGGTTCCAGTCCCCCTGGGGGTGACAGTAAACCAGGGGAGAAGGATGCCTTTGTTTTAGCCATGTTTGAGGACTGCTCTGAGGCCCTGGGTCCTTGAGTGTGTTGGTTCCACGTAGCCGGGATTTCCAGGACAACCTTGGGACCCTGTGGCGTCTGTCGGGCCTTGTGAGCCCATGGGAGGATTTTCAGCCATTCTACTGGGGAAGCCCCTTGCGTGTGGCTTTTTGTGTGTGAACAGGGCCCACTGTCACTGGCGGTGACACCAGTGACTCCTGTCCCCGTGTTCCGCCGGCTGCAGGAGGGGAGGTGCCCAGCACGGAGGCTGAGACACAAGTGGCCTCTGAAGTCGGGATGTGCGCCCCACCTCCAGGGCTGATGAGCTTGGGGGCCTTTGCTGAGCTTCGTTTCCCGCATGGAAGGTGGGGGCTTTGTCTGCCCCTCTCTCCTTGTGGCCAGCAGGAAAGGGAGTGAAGGTGCTGACCTCAGCCAGTGTGGAGGGAGAGCCCGGTGGGTGCTGTTCCACCTGCATTCTTTCACCTCCACAGCTGCCTTCCCACTTCTCACTCACAGTCTCCTTTTCTTTCTCCTCCACCCCCTCGGCAGCTCTGCCTGCTCCTCTTGGTCCTGAGCATGTGCACAAATGTACACAGCACATGCATGCACACACCACGTGTACACAGGTGCACCACTCTTCTTGAGGCAAAAGAAAAGGCCGGCCCTGCCCCTAGCACTTCCCCAGGCCTGTCCCTTCTTCCTGCCCCGTCAGGGACCTAGAGTCTCCTTCCCGTGTTTCTTCTCCACGTGTGGATACCCATGTGTGAGCCACAGGATTCTTTTTCTCTTTCCTTTTTTTTAAAGGTGTGTTCTTGTTCTGTCACCCAGGCTGGAGTGCAGTGGCGTGATCTTGGCTCACTGCAACCTCTGCCTCCCAGGTTCAAGCGATTCTCCTGCCTCAGCCTCTTGAGTGGCTGGAACTACAGGCACACACCACTGTGCCTGGCTACTTTTTTTTTTTTTTTTTGAGAGAGTTTTTTCCTCTTGTTGCCCCAGCCTGGAGTACAGTGGCACAATCTCAGCTTACCACAACCTCCGCCTCCCAGGTTCAAGTTATTCTTCTACCTCAGCCTGCCAAGTAGCTGGGATTACAGGCATGCGCCACCACACCTGGCTAATTTTGTATTTTTATTAGAGACGGGGTTTCTCCATGTTGGTCAGGCTGGTCTCAAACTCCCAACCTCAGGTGATCCGCCTGCCTCGGCTTCCCAAAGTGCTGGGATTACAGATGTGAGCCGTCACACCTGGCCATTTTTTGTAGAGACGTGGGTCTTACCACGTCACCCAGGCTGGTCTGGAACTCCTGGCTTCGAGCCATCTTGCCTGCCTTGGCCTCCCAAAGTGCTGGGATTATAGGCGTGAGCCGCCACGGGCGGCCTGGATTCTCTGTGAGGTGTTTCCCGTTCTTCCCAGTTGGTCTCGTGTGCTGCGGATGTGGGTTGTTGTCTGCCCCGTGTTGATCAGGTGGATCCTGCTTCTAACTGCTGGGGGGGTGGGTCCATCCTGTAACCCTGCACTGTCAAGCGTTTCCCTATCTGTGAGCATGTGACTGGGTTCCAATTTTTTTTTTTTTTTTTTAAGACTGTCTTGCTCTGTCGCCCAGGCTGGAGTGCAGTGGCGCGATCTCAGCTCACTGCAACCTCTGCCTCCCGGGTTCAAGTGATTCTTCTGTCTCAGCCTCCTGAGTAGTGGGGGTTACAGGCATGAGCTGATTTTTGTATTTTTATTTATTTATTTATTTCTGAGACAGTCGTCTTCTGTCGCCCAGGCCGGAGTGCAGTGGTGTGATCTCTGCTCACCACAACCTTTGTCTCCTGAGTTCAAGTGATTCTCCTGCCTCAGCCTTCTGAGTAGTTGGGATTACAGGTGTGCACCAGCTAATTTTTTTTTTTTTTTTGTATTTTTAGTAGAAATAGGGGTTTCACCTTGTTGCCAGACTGGTCTTAAACTCCTGACCTTGTGATCCACCCGCCCTGGCCTCCCAAAGTGTTAGGATTACAGGCGTGAGCCACCATGCCCGGCCCTAATTTTTGTGTTTTTAGTAGAGACAGAGCTTTCCACGTTGGCTAGGCTGGTCGTGAACTCCTGACCTCTGACCTCAAGTGATTTGCGCGCCCTGGCCTCTCAAAGTGCTACGATTACAGGTGTGAGTATTGCGCCTGGTGGATTCTAATTTTTAATGCTTGATTTTTTTTGTCTTTTTAAAATATAGGGTCTGGCTCTGTTGCCTAGGCTGTAGTGCAGTGGCTTGATCAGGGTTCACTGAAGCCTTGACCTCGGAGGCTCAAGTGATCCTTCCTCCTCAGCCTCCCGAGTAGCTCGGACTGCAAATACGCATCACCATGCCAACTAATTTGTTTTGTTTTGTTTTGAGACAGAGTCCCACTCTGTCACCCAGGCTAAAGTTCAGTGGCACAATCTCGGCTCACTGCAGCCTCTGCCTCCCAAGTTCAAGCGATTCTCGTGCCTCAGCCACCTAAGTAGCTGGGACTACAGGCGCACACCACCATGCCCGACTAATTTTTGTATTTTTAGTAGAGATGGGATTTCACCATGTTGGCCAGGGTGATCTTGAACTCCTGACCACAAGTGATCTGCCCGCCTTGGCATCCCAGAGTGCTGGGATTACAGGCATGAGCCACTGCACCTGGCCTAATTTTGTATTTTTGGTAGAGATGGGGTTTTACCATGTTGCCCAGGCTGGTCTCGAACCCCTGGGCTCAACTGAACCTCGCACCTTGGCCTCCCAAAGTGGTAGGATTATAGGCGTGAGCTCCTGTGCCCGGCCTTGCTTGATTTTTTTTTTTTTTTTTTTTTTTTTTTTTGAGATGGAATCTCCCTCACTGCAACCTCCACTTCCCAGGTTCAAGCAATTCTGCCTCAGCCCCTCCCAAGTACCTGGGACCACAGGTGCGTGCCATCACGCCTGGCTAATTTTTTGTATTTTTAGTAGAGACGGGTTTCACTGTGTTAGCCAAGATGGTCTCGATCTCCTGACCTTGTGATCCACTCGCCTCGGCCTACCAAAGTGCTGGGATTACAGGCGTGAGCCACTGTGCCTAGCCTGCTTGAATTTTTATTGCTTGAAAATCTTTTTTTTTTTTTTTTTTTAGATAGAGTCTCACTCTTTTGCGTAGGCTGGAGTGTCGTGGCATGATCTCGGCTCACTGCCAGCTCTGCTTCCCAGGTTCACGCCATTCTGATGCCTCAGCCTCCCGAGTAGCTGGGACTACAGGCACCCGCCACCATGCCCGACTAATTTTTTGTATTTTTAGTAGAGACGGGGGTTTCGCCGTGTTAGCCAAGATGGTCTCGATCTCCTGACCTGAGGTGATCCATCCGCCTCGGCCTCCCAAAGTGCTGGGATTACAGGTGTGAGCCACCGCGCCTGGCAAAGATCTTGTATTGATCATAGTGTGTGTCTGCAACTAAAATATGCACATCAATTGAAATTAGAATTTTGAAAAATTGTGGATCATCATAAGCTGTGAGGAATTTTTTATGGTTTGAATGGCCTTACTAATATTACAGAATATTACAGTTTTTATCAGTAACAAGTAGAAATACTAAAAAACATTGGAAACATGTTTCTTGAGTAGGTGGGTTCCTTTTTCTCTGGTTAATTCATGCATTCACCGTTGGATATAAGCTATTGCTAAAATGATACAGATTTCAGCCTCAATTCTAGTTCTTTGTTTTTTCTTTTTCTTTTTTCTGAGATGGAGTCTTGCTCTTGCCCAGGCTGGAGTGGAGTGAGATGGTACAATCTCAGCTTGCTGCAACCTCCGCCTCCCAGGTTCAAGCAATTCTCCTGTCTCAGCTTCCTGAGTAGTTGGGATTAGAGGCATGTACCACCACTCCCAGCTTTTTTTTTTTTTTTTTTT